TTTCCTATTTTTTCTAATGCAAAACTTTTGAGTACTCTTTTCTTTCCCACCAGCCAGCTTCCTCTCAGTGCTTACTGTAACTCCAGCAGACACCCAACACACCCTTTCCTTCTTCCAGAAGTGACTTCCCCTAGCCCAGATTCCTGGGACCGGCTTCTCTCCTTCCCTTTGACACTCCAACTGATTGTGAGAGCTAATTTGATGATAATGTCAATGCAGAGGCCACTGTGGAGGTGACATTACAAATGTGATGTCAAACTGAGGAGGGTGACAGTAGCTGAATGTTAAAAGAATGGGTAAAAAAAAATGCCAGTGGAAAGCTGCAAATATCATTGTGTCAAGATAATGTCAGAGCTACTCCAGTCCTGCTTTATTAACACCCCAGTTTGATGTCAAAATAAAGGTGCAGAGGTGTCAGCTCAAATTGATGAGGACAATGTGGAGCAAGGAGCTGAGGTGTGAGGAGAGCGTGGGAAAGGAGAGAAAATAAAGAACAAGTTAAAAAATGTGATCTGAAATAACTGTAATTGAAATACATCTTAAAGGGGTTAATGTTACCCTGCTTGATGTGTGACAGGGCTGGCTCAGACACCCCTGGGGAGCAGGGGACAATTCTGAACCGGGGATGGCATCTGGTGCCCCATTCCCGATGGGAAGGTAGGAAGCAAGGGGAGGAGGGAAAGTCCGTGGTGCAAAATTGGAGGGGAAGGGGACAGGGACCAGCGAGGGCAGTGGGGACGTGGAGCAAGGCAGGGACCAGAGACCACAGGCACATCCACGCTGGGGCTGGCAGAGATATGAGAGGATTGCGTTTAAACCAGAACCAAGAGTTCTCATGAAACGGAAAAGCCTAAAGGGAGCAGGCTTTAAACCAGCAAAGGAAGGCATTAAAGACGTGATGCCTTTTCCTTTGAAGTAGGCTCTTGTTAAATTTCAATAGACACTGGTTGATCTCAGGAACTGCAGCCCCAATTCGCTTCCTTGATGCTCCAAACTCCACAGGTGGAGCAGAGGGAAGGGAATATGTGTTTGCCCATGTGGGCACAAAGTGAGGTTCTGGTTGCTGAGGAAGCAAGTGCTAATGATCCTGCTTTAGACTAATTACAACCCACAAGGACTGCAGGGCTGGGAACTCATTAATGTCTTCGCTGGTGTTGGTCTTTGTGTCTCTTCCAGTGTTGGCAAGAATCATGCTTTTTGTTCTCATTTAGGTCTTTCAATCTGGATAAGGTCAATGGGTTTGGTTTTGTTTTGAGTTTCCTAATTTCCAGGAAAACAACTTAAGTGAAATCAGAAGGGAAAAATTCATCCTTCCCTCCTGCTTGAGTGGAGCTGGGAGTGTGAACGAGCTTTGATGAGCCCCAGCATGAGCAGCAGTGGCTTCCCTGGGGACTGAAAGCTCACATTGCTGCAGCTGAGGTCAGGCATTGTCCCCACCCCCCCAGAAATGACCTAGAGCTGACAATCCATGGGAAAAAAAGTGGTTTTTGGGTTATTGCTCTGTGGGTTGGCTACATGAGCTGATGCAGCCCCATTGTGAGGACGCTGCTGCTGCCTCCTCCCAGCGCAGGCTCTGCGTGTTTTTCGGGGCTTCTGGCAGGTATTTGGTGATCAGCACCTTGATGAGAACCAAAAGGCTCCTCTGCCCTTGGGCTGAGCCTCTATCCCCAATCTGGGAACTTCTGTCCCAGTTGCCTTCCCCGGGGCTTCAGAGGCTTCGTGGGGTGGGGGGGCACCCGACAAATGCAGAAACAAAGGGATTTCTGGAGGAGAAAAGGACACAGTCTCCCTGTGTCAGGTGGCAAGTATTCACATTTAAAAATCAATATCACATGAAATATAAACAGACTATTAATGAGGACCTGTTGGGAAGCAGAAGGGTTGTAATTAGTTGCACTTTAGCAGTGGTGAGCGAGGGACACAATTCTGTTTCCCTACTGGAGAAAATGCCAAAGGAGGTGCCTGAAGCCCAGCTATGTGTTGTGTTTTCCCTGGCAGAGGTGGTGGCTTGGCTCTGCTCCCCAGCACTTGCACTCTTCTGTATTTCTTCCAGAGCAGCCTCAGGGTTTACCACGACCAGACTGACCCCATCCTGTGGTTCCCTGCTGGCAGAATGATGTTCTACAGAAGACCCTTCCCAGGTGAGAATAACCCAGAGAGGGGGAGCTGGCACCTGCTCTGCTCCCAGCTCAAATGAGAGCTCAGCAAACTGCTTTTTTTCCAACAGGAAAATATTTGGGCTCCTCAGCCTGCATTGCCCCGGTGGGATAAGACCACCGGGATCGTGGTGGTTTCTGCGTGGCTGACAACTTGGGAACCCTTCAAAAGCTCCTTGGTCCCGGGGCTGAAATCCTGCCAGCTCTGAAGGCAAGAGCAAAACGTGTGAGCGTGTGTGTGTTTTGGTTGGGTATTTTATCTTTTAACAGACCCCCACCCTGCTGTACCCAGCCCAGCCTCTTCCCTGCGGGGCACAGGCAGGGCTGGACAACCCGTGAGCCTGATCCAAGCTCCCTTCTCCCAAAATACCGCCCTGTGCCGGGGGTGCCGTTCTGGGAAGCGCTGCCCCAGAGCTGTAAGCTGAGCCGGGCTGCAGACAGGTGCAGAGCCTCTCCATTCCCTCTTATTTTCAGCACCGCCCATGTGTCTTACTTTTCTCATTCTGAGGTAATGCCACATCCTCCTCGCTGGACTCTTTTTCTACTCTTTTTCTAAAGCTTTAAGGGCTCTGTCTTTGCTTCCCCCCACCTCAAACACCCCTTTTAGATCCACTCCCCCATTCGCAGCAGGGCAGCCTCAGCTCCTGGGGTCACCGCTTACCCACGGACTTGCTCTGCAATGTGGGAAAAGCCTTTATTTATAATTTCAGTCCAGGGGAACCAGCTTTGGGCTCGAGCTTTAAAGGGCTTCACTACCAGGTGTCAGAGGCATTTGAAAAGATGAATCCCCTGCCTCCCTCCAGACGTGCCAATTCATCACACGGCCGGGAGAGGCGGATGGAGACACACGGGCAGTCTTCATCTGAGAGACAGTCTGGAGGCTGAGGAGCTGGGAGGTAAAGTTAAAAGAAGGATTTGAAGAAGAAATATTGCCTGTACACAGGGGTGGCTCGGGATGTCTGGGAGCAGGGAGAGGCTGCTGAACTGCTGCCCCGTTTCCGGCACCGCTCGTCCCGCGGGGGTTTTGGGGTGGTGAG